AAGATTGTGGCACTAGGCATAAGGCAATACAGATAGACGAGATGAAAAAGAAGTTAAAGGCAAACAATGCGGCCCAGAGAAAGTAAAATATGTAAAGTCAAATTGAAATTATCAGGAAAAATTTAAGAGCCAAGCATCCTGAGAAAAAATTAGACGCTTCACATGGGCGTACCGATCAAAGCATAACTTCAATGGTTTTTCGTTTCTACTACAGTACTTCATCACTAAATCAGACTGCTATTGGTCATGCCAAGCAAAGCTGAAATCCCAGTAGCCGAGACTGAACCGGAAACCGGGTTTGTAACAGAAGTAACCAAGGGGGGTGGGCAAGATAATCCGGAAGGTAGCACAGTATTAAGTGAAATTGAGGCATTTTCATGCTGGGATACGGATGTCAAACATGACGGATTGGGAATATACTGACCAGGGAGTTGAGCTATAATTGATTGGCAATTATGCAACCTTGATTGGTTTGTAGGAAGCCCTATTCCAGAGACAGATTGTGAAAATAGCAAATGACTCTGTAAAGTGGTATTAGGAGATGGGCATATGTAGTCACTCGAGGTAGGTTTGGACCCGGTGGAACATGACACCTGCCCGAGGGCTTCGGCGACTAATCCACTCCTGAGTCTAGGATCTGCCGTTGTGATACTTGATGCAATGTTACAATCGGATTTACTATAGCTTGTCAAATGTGCACTGCCTCTGCCATTAAAAATAGGACCAGGACCGAGCATAAGTGTTCCTTCAATACTACCGTTACCAGTTCCAGGTGCGGATGATGAGACCAGAAGGGCATCGGCTGAGGTACAGCTTGAGGATGTGGAAGAGGCCGAGGATAAAGAAGAGGTAGAGATTGAAGAAGCGGCTGGCAAATTCACTGAGGCAGACAATGCAGAACCTTTGGTGTTCGATGCAGCGTTCGATTGATAGCAGTCAACACAGAGCTGGCAGCTCCAACTTCCCTCGGGAGGTTCGGATAAAGGTGGCTTTAGACAATACATATGATATCCTCGGTCACAATCATCACAGAAAAGCATTTGTTCCTATATATAATGTAAATAAAAAATAGAAAGTAGTAGGCTCTACCAATTTATTTGTTCATTGCAACTGCTTAATTTAATTATCGTTTACAAGTAGGGCTTCGAGATTACATAAATGCTTAATTTGTTCGTTCTGAAAAGTATACGAAATAATATAAATCTGTATAGGTAACGATCTAGTTATTGAACCAGATAAGAATGTTGAGAGTAATGAAAAAGAATTATACGTATTACTTATTTTCGACATAAGTCGAAGAACCCAGTTTGATTCACGATTATATCCGAATTACTATCTGTATTGCCGAAGCATACATCGTGCTCAAAACCTTTGATCTCACACCTGAATGCCCAATTAAGTTTTGCTAGGGCAATGATATAAGCAGTGACCAAGATTAATTTAAATGATTAAATATAGGCAAAATTAAACGTAAAGTATAACTGGATTCGAGCTCTGTAAAAATGCGCTAAAAATGGATAATGTTTGCAAACTGGAATCCCTTAGAAAAATTCCTTGAGCAGCCAGACACGATTCCAAAATGCAAAAAGACGCATGTTTTTTTATTAAAATCTAATATGTGGGTCAGATAAAATCCCGAGTTACGAAAAATCTGGTCACGAAATACCGAGCCATCGAGTGTGTACAACAAGTCATTAGTGAGCTTTGCAAAGGAGCCAAGTGAATATGCTTTCGACTAAGCATTACAAGGCCTTTGCATTCCATCAGCAAAAGCAGAAAAACCTGAGTAGGTATAAGAAATAAATAGGCGCATTGAAGACCCGTGAAGGTGGCAGAGCCTGGATCAGAAAATTCAAGTACTGGAAATGGGGAAACCATTAACAAATCAATTTGTCATAAATGGTCTAGTTGCTCTTAATTACTCAGATAAAAGTAGACTTCGAAAAAATCAGTAATCCGTGAATAACAGCACTATGTCACAGAA